ATATATCTTTGAACAACCTGAGTTTGGATAAATAAATAGTAATTTGGTCTGAGTTCATGAGCTAACAGCTAGTCGGATGCCAATGTTGGGACTAAGGTAAGTTGTTGTCTTTTAGAAACCACTCCATTTTCAGAAATATTGTAGCATTTTATGTTATAGCATTTTGGACTATTTTAAAAACCTTCACATTATCATCAGTTGTATATAATGCAGTTGTTTACATAGAAATGTATAGGTGTGTGGAAGTAGTGGCAGTGCGTGTTACAGTAGCTAGCTGTAGCACCTCCAGTGCCTTTAGGATACTTCCAGCAGCGATATAATATTTTATACAAAAAAAATATATGATGCAAAACTGACAGATATGAAAAGGTTTACAAAAAGATAATTTGTTGACATTGGAGTTGTTTTGAAAGTAATAATATCTATCTACGTTCTGACTGTCGAGAGATTAGTTGGCTAAAAAATTACAAGAAATTTGCGATAAAACATTTTCTGTTGCAGTCTCGTGGAACTCTGAATAAAACTAACTGACTAATGGTCTGTATGGTCATGTTCGAAAGGCCAATTGTTTTTTTTTGTTTTTTTTTAAATCACTGCCTATTTGTGTGTGCACGGCTTGTAAAACTGCATTTTTGGCCATGCACATTATTTTGTTGTCACCCAATTTCGAAGTACATTTTTTAAAATAAGAGGTAGATCTGGACTAATTTTTCAATACTTTCTGTTTTTCGTCAGCATAGATTTTGGATTTGGATATCTGCCTCATATGTTTTCTGTCGGAGGAGAGCTCCTGAGCAGATGACAAAATATGGCAATGGAGACATTCATGATGGCACACGGATAATTTGAGAAAAGTCATGACAAAAGTCACAAGACATTAGAGAAACTCTTTCATGAATGCCATTCGCCAACTACTTGCAGCCCATGAGGGACCACCTTAAACCAGCAGCAATCCACTTTGGTCTTGACTGTATTTGGACTTGCTGCAAGCTTGCCAGTCTGGTCAGAATTGAGCTCTATTTCTCCAAACAGGGCTTGTTCAAAGTGCTATCTATGATCTTTTGTTTCATTGTTATGCTGATGACTGACAGATTTATCTGCCCTTAAAACCCAACGGTTCCTGCTTCATTCACCCTCTGTTAAAATGTCTCGATGACACCAAGGCATGGATGTCTTCAATTTTTTTCAGTTTTAATGATCAGAAAACTGAAGTCATTGTGTTTTGCTCTAGCTCTACCGCAGTCACTGATCCCGTAAATCTTGACTCTCTTCAGCCACATCTTAAGCAGTCCGTTACCAATCTGGGGATGGTTTTAGACTCTGACTTTAAGTTTAGTGAACAGATTAACTCTGTTCTGCATAAAAGCTTCTTCTAGTTAATGCAGATAGCTAAGCTTAAATCTGGACTGACCAGATCTGACCTTGAAAAACTAGTCCATGCCGTCATTATAACCTGGCTGGACTCCTGTAACGCGCTTCATGTTTGGGTCAGTCAGGTGTTCCTTTCACGTCTTCAGCTCGTCCAAAATCTTAACAGGAACTCGTAGGTTTGAGCACATTTCACCAGTTTTGTCCTCCCTTCAATGGCTCTGTGTGTGTGTCAGAATATTTTTTTAAATTCTGTTGACATTTAAGCGCATTAATGGCCTTGCACCGTCTCACCTCTCTGACCTCCTCTCTCTTATGTTCCTTCTCAGGTGCTGAGATCATCTGACCTGCTGCTCTTGGTTTTACCAAAAACCAGGCTGAAGCTCAGAGGAGATGGGACTTTTTCAGTCATGAGCCCTAAACTCTGGAACAATCTGTCCCCCAACATTAGACAGCCCACTTCGCTCCCTGCTTTTAAATCTCTCCTGAAAACGCACCTGCATTCACCAACAGTTAACACAGTATGATCTGATTTATTATCCCATTGATTCTCATTGTGTTTGTGTTTTATATTTTATGCTTTTAATTACATCTTGTTATGTTTTACTTGATGCTGTGATTTTATTGTTAAGCACTTTGGTAACGGTTGCTGTTTTAAATGCGCTTTATAAATAAAATTTGACTTTATCTGCAAAAAACAAGAATATTAATGTTCATAAGCGGAGTGTAGCCCCCTGCTTTAAAAGAGCTGAACTTTGTGGGTGTCTGCAGTCGCCATCTGTATCCTTGATAAACAAAATTGAAGAAAAAAAAATCTTTAGAAAAGCTCTAGGTTGAGAAAAATTGTTTACAGTCATCATCGGTCATTGAACGTCTCTTAGATTGCTGCAGTTGCTTGTTTTTCAAACACTATCTCTGCCCGTGGAATGAAACATGGAGTTTTTCCTGCTGTTTGTTGTTATGATTTGAAAAACTACAGTAATAACACCTCTGACTTTGCTTTGGGGTAACATCTATTGTTGCTGCCGACGGTACGCCTTTAGTGGCTTTGGCTCATTTTAAATGATGAGTGCAAACCCAACACTGGGCAGCTGGCCAGCGGTGGCTGCTGGTCATGTTGGTCCCCAGTGTCAGGTTTCCAGAGATACACTAACACATGCACACACAGTGAATCTTCTAGGCTGAATACATTTATGGACAAACAGGGAGTTACAGAAGGAAATCAGTTAATTGCATCTGAAATGTTTATGTAACTATTGTGTCAAAGCAGAGAAAAACGCATCAAATTAATGAATTTGTTTCTAAAAAGTTCACAAGGATATGAAAGGACGCACACTGTGGATGTCACTACTCCTCCCAGAAGTTTGTCAGCATTTATAAATAAAATGCTCAGCAGTGACCCAGCTAATGAATTATAAACCAGCATAGAAACTAACCAAAAACATCCAATTACAAATACGGCTATAATTACCAAATGTGGTTTTCTAATTGCATCTTGAGAACGCTGCGCTGGTTTCTTATTTAAAAAAGGTCAAAGTAACAGAGACAGAGCATCTTATCAAGCATCAAATTTAGAGAACTTCACGATTATTATTTCAGGAAAAACCTGCTCCTGAATAATTTAAGATTGAATTTTTAACCAAAACATGCCAGGGTGGAGAACATATTTATTAAAAGTAAACACAGTTTAGCAAGAAAACCTTCAGGTCTTGCAAGGCTGCTGCTTAAACCGATTTTATAAAAAGGCAAAAATAAACCTGCAGACTGAGGAGTTTATTTTTATAGTAAAATCTACAAAACCTCCAGTCCATTACAGACAATAAGCAAACACTTTTAAAACCAAATTGCTTCCTCAATATTACCAACTTGGGAGACGTAAATGACTCCATGCTTTCTTTGGGCAATAATAATAACGTAGCTGGTGTGTTTAAATGACAACGCACTGTCACAAACCGTTTGGAAATGTTTCCGCTTCGAGAGCACCGACAACCCTCAATCAGGCTTCAGTCATATAAAAAGCCTGTGAAACCTTCCATCCACACCGATCTGCACACTCGGCTGATACACCATCATCCATCCGAAAGAGAACAGCCAACCTTGGTTAGAGTTGAGACTTTTGATGCAATCAAGCATTGCACAAACTGGCAACCAGGCTCTATGATTAATGTTTCTTACCACCTGCTTTCAAACCTTTTTACACACATGCACCGCCACCCCATGGTCATGTGTTTAACTAGGATATGTCTGAGTTTCACAAGTGATGACAACCACCATGACTAGCCACAGGAAAGAGAGGCTCAGAATATGAGAACATCTTTCCCAACATAGTCTAAATCCCAAATGACCAAGTGAAATATATACAGTACCAACCTCATATGCATTAAAGCTAATTCCAAACTTTGGTTTTCCTCACTAGGACAGCTGGGGGCATTAGACATATATGCAGCTGCCAGCAATAGATGATGTTCATGCTGCATTTTATTTTGTGCTGGGAATTCAGAATTCCATGTAAAAAATAAATAAATCAGCTGGAATGCTACTCAAAGCCTAAATTTTGACCTGTAAAGTCAGAGATTCCTGACCAGCTCTGACCTAAAAATCCAACATGGTTGACTCCTACTTGAAAATTGCTCAACTTTTGTCAGTTTTCATCCAAGTGACTGTGTCCTGCACAACGTATATGGTAAATGTAAATGGACTGTATTTATATAGCTCTTTTCTATATTATCAAGATACTCAAAGTGCTTTACAACACAATCTGTGTCCTCATTTATCCATTCATACAACACTCTACTATCTTTACAAAGACTAATCAGTGCTTTGTCACATTTATACACAGATGGGACACACATCGGAGGCAATGAGGGGCTCATTGTCTTGCCCAGGGAGACTTCGTTATGAGCCTGCTGGTGGAATCGAACCCACAACTCTCGCACTGGAGGACGACTGCTCTAACCACTCAGCCACACCCTCCCCAAGTAAGTACCAATAAAGTACTTTTCAAAAACTACTAGTGACTTAGCAGTCATTTGCTAGAATGCATAGGATGCAGTGAAATGTTGCTCTTGGCTCGGATTGCTAATAGTTGTTAGCTTTGAGCACAACCATTAGCAAAGCATCAATCATCAAATCATCAATTCATAATGGTACTTCCTCTAGTTATTTAACAGTCAACAATAGTGTACCACAAGGCCCAGGACCTACCCTCTTTACAATCGACATAGGTAATGTAGGTCAGAGCATCCCTGATGCATCCTTAAATTTCTATGCTGATGACACAGTTGTTTATTGTCGAGCTAAAACAGTTGCTAAGGCTTTCCAGCTTTT